TAATACGTTCCAAAAAAAGACAAAAAAGCTTTAGTTTTGCAGAGTTAAATTCTCAAACGTGTAAGGCAACAATAAGATGAAAGTATCACGAAATTATTTGAATAAACCACATCGCATATATGGGGGGCGAATGTCCTAAAGAGGGGCGATATTCCTAGGGTATTCGTCCCACCCCCTGGGAGGCGATATTCCTAGGATATTCGCCCCCGGGGGCAATATTCCTAGGAATATCGCCACGTTTTGAGGGGGGGGGCGAATTTCCTGGGGGGGGGCGACCTTTTTAAAAATTCTATCTTGCCCCCCCAAAATTTGAGTTTGCCCCTCAAATGCCCCCCCAAATTTGGAAGCCTGGCGCCGCCACTGGAACTTTGGCAGTTCATACATCAAGAAAGCAATCAACTTATAGTCTTAATAAAAGAGAAAACATACAGTTTACAGTTTTACATGCTAGCTCTTTCTGCCTATAGAACGCTGACTTGAATTTCGTTGCCATTGCAGTAGACTCGCCTGTTTTCATGATCATACATGCCCATGGGCAAATATCACAGAAGACAAGACTTTTTATAGAGGCAATTACGCCAACGTTGAGGCAATTACGCCAAGCTAAATAGAGATTTAATGAGTTTCGAAATATTTTTATTTGCTGTAATTTAGAGATAGAATGATAGTCACGTCTTCAAGCATTTTGTGGGGTTTTCTTTCAATAATTAATGTATTGTGCTTTTTTTATATTTCGTTATCTCGATACCATTGTCATAAAGCAAATTAATAAGATCCTTGACCTTGTCGTTGTAGATTTGCATGGTAAAAATAAATATAATTGTTTTGTTTTTTGCTGGACACGTTCATTTCTTGGTCTCGGCTTTGGCGAAACTTTCGATCCAAGATCGTTGCTATAATAATTTAACACATTGGTGAAGATCCATGCAGGCTTACATATCGAAAGCTAGTAATACAAAATAAACGTGATGTTTCCACAAAAATCAAACAAATATATTTCCGGCATGCAATCATACAAGCCTTTCGCGGCGAAATTGAAACTTATACACTGTCACTGAGTATGTATTAAATGAAGTAATCTAGTTTAGCGTCTTCTTACACTGGACTCGACGAAGAACAGGTTACTGCAAAAAACGCCCAGCCTGTAACAATGTTGTTGAAAACAGGCCTGAACAATATTTTGCTGCCCATATTGTTCCTGGTTGTTAATATTGTTCAGCCTTGTTCAGGTGAACAATGTTGAACAATATTGTTAATAACCAGGAACAATATGGGCAGCAAAATATTGTTCAAGCCTGTTTTCATGAACATTGTTACAGGCTGGGCGTTTTTTGCTGTGTAATGCAAATGGTTCCAAAACAAAATGATATTAAGTATATTGCAAGAATAGCAGTGTTAATTAGTAAGGACAAATACAAGACTGATCTAAACTAAACAAACTAGTATCCTCTAGTATAAATAAATTGAGTTCAGTTTAAGTTTCGTCTGGTATATAGTTCCAATGGACTACTATACACCTGTGTGAGAACATGCCATAGATATCTTATACAGCTATTTCAATTAAGATTCTCCGCCGAGCAAAGCGAAAAAGTCGAATACGAGCGCGAAAGGCTGCTGGGAATCGCTAATAAATTCAATAATTTATTAGCGATTCCCAGCAGCCTTTAATCGCGCTTGTATTCGACTTTTCCGCTTTGCTCGGGGGAGAACCTTTATTCATTGAGTTGATATGACAATTTCACAGTTGGCTGTTTATAGCCAATCAGAAACTAGGAATTTTTTAAATAAACAATAATCAAATATATCTGATAATAGGATAATATTTATCCAGGATACCCACATCACTTACATGTTTTTCAGTGGGGTCCTGCATCTAAATTACAATTATTTACAATATTAATTGTCAATATTTAAATCGTACAAAAACATATAAATTAATTTATAATTCATAAAAATTTAATTTACTCAGTAAGCATGTAACGTGCCTCAAATGAATCAATCGATTCTGTAGTCAGGAAGTTAAGATAATATTGCTCAAAATTAGTAAGATTGATTGATTGATTTGTTGATGGTCCCTTAATAGTAGCGGTAGCCCGCGTGCAGGCCCAAGGGAGCAGGCTCAAGGGAACTTGATAGCGGTAGTGGAAGTCAAATCTGAACTTTAAAGGACATTGGCAACCAAATGTTTTATTGCTTCATCTGAAAGAGCATGAAAATATAAGCCGATTGGCCATTTAATGCTCTATTCTATCTCATCTAGTTCCGAAGTATACGCAAAAATGTGCAAAATATAAATTGCTGATTCAGCACAACATGTGACGTCATTAGTTAAGTATGTTTATTGAATATAAACTAAAGCATAGCTAAGTTATTATTGGCTCAAATCAAATGAAATTTTGCATACAGATAGTACATGATGAGACGCATGGGATAATACTACTAATTTTGTTGTCAAGGCAACACAGTCGTTCCCAGGCCCCTTACACTGATTTTGAATAACTAGTTGCATTTATCTATGTGTATCTCATTTTCGAATTATTGTCATGCAAGTAAACTTTTGGCATGCATAGGTATGGTACACATACTTCTGATATTATTTTAACCTTATCAGTACCATGAATAAAGCTGTTTTATAAAATTGGCGCAAGGGGCCTGGGAACGACATTGCTCCTTAGCAACAAAATTAGAAGCGTTTTTCAATGCGTCTCATCATGTACAATCAGTATGCAAAATTTCATTTGATTTGGGCCCATAATAACTTAGCTATGCTTCAGTTTACTATTCAATAAACATACTTACCCAACTAATGACGTCACACGTTGTGCTGAATCAGCAATTTATATTTTGCACATTTTTGCGTATAACTTCGGAACTAGATGAGATAGAATAGAGCATTAAACGGCCAACCGGCTTATTTTTTCATGCTCTTTCAGATGAAGCAATAAAAAATTTTGGTTGCCAATGTCCTTTAAGCAAGGCTATAAATTGCGGTTAATGGAGTAATATGTTCTAGAAGACTCTATCTGCCCGAGGGTGTTTTCAGTCTGCCAACGCATCTGCGTCACAACAATTAATCCGTACAAGGTCTAAGTACCTCGGTAGAACAAGGGAACCGTTTTCTAGTCCTGTAAATATTACAAACTATCAGATAAATATCGAAATTTGGCTACTAAGCATGTGAACAACTGATGCAAACTTGGGATTAACCAATCAGAAATTTTCCCGAAGGTTTTCCCTTCACGTGCATACGTACAATGGCCTCCTTTTAGCGCAAGGACTTTTGATCGCAGTTTTGACGTGCACTGCTCATTCGCAAGACTTTAGCCAGTGCGTTAACATCTCTGGCAAAATTTTTGGCTACTAATTTAAGGGACCAAACCTTGGCAAAGAAGTGGAAATTAAAAAAACCCACCCACCTCCCAATAATCATGTACACCAATCTGGACTGTTAATTAGAAAAATGAATATTCATGTATATGATAGCTACGCATGTTACTCATAAATTTGTAACCCACTTATTTGAAGAAATGCAATAAATAATTATATACTGGAGGGAAGTGCTGTCCGATGGACAATACTTCACCAAGTGAAGCGCAATCACTGCTCATTCAGGTAGTCGCACTGAAGACCTGAATGAGCAGACCTAGAGACTCGATGTGGTCAGTCAGGTTATCAGTTGCGGCCCGGGGTAATCTGCCCTATACCATAGTTGTTAGCCAGTCCAACTAGGTCTCAATGTCGACGGCCTGACGGATCTGAACGGGGGTTCTCCTGTTCCCCTGTTATCTGGAGGTCCGCCTGTTCCTCTAGAACAATCTACCGTTTTTGCATGTATCCTCAGCAAGCTTTGAGTACCCTGGGTAATGTGCCCTATACCAATAGTTGTTCACCAGTCTAACTATAGGTCTCAACTCGCTGAACGACATGCACAGAGTCAAGCATGCCCTCTGCAGTCTAGAGATTCGCCTGTTTCTCTAGATACAACTTGCCCGGAACAGTTTTCGAACACTTCTCTACCCAAAATATATGCCACAAAAATGTGTTTCAAGTTATTGTTGTCTTGCTTGGTTGCCAGTTGTTCGATTTTAACTATCTGTCTCTTTCCAACATATTCAATTTCGTTAATAACTTTATTTGCGGTATATAGAATACAAAGAAAATTATACTCCACCGACTGCGATAACATTTCAAGTGATCCAATAGTATACTGTTTCTTCCGAGAGTGCGGTAATGTGTGCACTTTTTAGTGCTCAATTAATAATTTCTTAGTATATTAACAGCAAGAATCACGGCACCATATTGAATTATAAAGCTAATTAATTCAAAAAGTGGGAATAATCGTGTCTGTAATTTCTGGTAATTGTCATTTTCAATGGTTCACATATGCGATTTCTATATATTAGTAGGAATATCTATAATTGTATAGATTACATGCATTCGTTCGTTCGCGCGCACAAAACTTAGAAGGACTATTTTGTCAAAGTATTAATTAGCGTGACTATTTTCCATTGGCCAAAAGCATGCAAGTACGTCGATCTCAAAGAAAACCAGTAACTTCAAACTAAGTAGCGGCCAACTAGGCAGTACTGTTGCGGAAATCTTTACTTGCAAAAATCGCTTCGAAATGCCCATAAACAAATCAAGTTACGTAAACAATTTTCCCAAACGTATAATTAAGGAAAACGTTTAGTCCAATCAAGTAAAATATATGATGGCATGCGAGTGAATTCGTGGAGGCTAGATTTTTATTCCCTTTTTTTGCGTACTTCGTTTTGTAGTTGTTTGAATAAATCGCTGCAGCATGCCCATACACACAGGTTGGAGGAAAAACAATGTTTAACGGTATAAGTATGGAAAAAAAATAAAAATTTAAAAAATAAATAATTAAAAAAAAATTAAAATTCTGAAATATTTGGCACACATTTTAGTAACCAGATAGGAAATCGTATTTTCGGAACTATATCGACTAATAGAAAAAATCAGAGAAACGTAAAATTTTTCAGATGTTTGAGCAACAATGTTACCTTGTTTGCCACGGCGTTCATGGCTTACCTGGGCCCGTTTCTTTAAAGCCGCTGCATCGTCTTCGACATCCATATTGTTGGATGCACGTGGACTGTTAAGGGAGCCGGAACGAGGGCGATCTCCAGTTGGTGTCCTTGCAGATGGATTTGGACTTCCAGGTTCAGGTGTAATGATAATCGATATCGGACGACGTTGTGCTGTAGGGCTAGCCAGTTTAGGACTTTTGTTATCTAGAAATAGCGTGTAATGATTGACTGGTGGTCGAGATATGTGCGCATATTTATGTAATAGGGAAATAGCAATGACAATTAAGTTTCTCCCATTTGGAAGAGGAATTCAATATATTTCAAAACCTTTCTACAGATTTTCTACATTGTTCTTGATATAAAAGATATCGCACTTCATTTCAAACAAAATCGTTATGCAGTTCCCCCATCTTGGATATGCATATCCATCGTCGGATATGCGTCACATCACAACCAGGGTAACATTGTTTTCATCTCGTGAGAAATTCTCAGGTCATTTTAATGATAAATCCTAATTTTTACTACTGACTACTATTCTAAAATTAAAGCACTATGTATAAACTTTCCCCTGATAATATATAATTTTTATTTTTAAAATGACTACGTTGTTGTCAGTTGTGACATCAATTAATTAGATCTTATTATAACAGAAGATGGCGGATGGATATATAGGTGAGCTAAGTTTGAAATACCTCAAAAACTACGATAGTTTGGGAGAATTTGTAGAAAGGTTTGTAAATATTCTTAACATTCTTTCAAATTAGAAAAACATAATTTTTGTTGCCATTGTCCTTTAAAATGTTAAATTGAGAAATTAAAGACTGAGTACAATTGAAACAGCTA